AAACCATTTCAGGTGACTACCTCTTGAAGCTCATGGAGAGAATGCCAAGAGTGTGCAAAGCAGTAATCAGAGCAAAGGGTGGCTATTTTGAAGAAACTAGAATATAAAACATGTTTTCAGTTATTTCACCTTTTTTTGTTAAGTACATAACTCCACATGTGTTCATTCATAGTTTTGATGCCTTCAGTGAGAATCTACAATGTAAATAGTCATGAAAATAAAGAAAACGCATTGAATGAGAAGGTGTGTCCAAACTTTTGGCCTGTACACACACACACACACACACACGTGTGTAAATTAACAGTCCCTTTATTCCAAAAGTGGTAAAGAAAGCAAGGGAAGAACATTTAATAAAGCCCTAGAGGGTCGGAGTGGATGAACCCGGTTAAAGAGTACCCGCCTGGACGGGACGCTCTAAAACTAAAGCGAGCGCGCCCACAAGGAGGCAGGGATCATTTCATTGGTCAGCAGTAAATCTGACGTTCTATTGGTTGGGGGATTTTGACAGGGTTGTTACACAAATAAATCCAAGCGCAGGGCAGAAATCTAAGAACAGAAATTCCGCGAGCGCACAGAAACAGTTTGAGCGCGAGGAGAAAAGCCGAAGCTCGAGCAGGAAATCTGTGTGAGCAACATGGTATCTGAGTGCGAGCAACATGGTATCTGGGTGTGAGCACACAGTTTGAGCAGAAACAGAGTAGATCCAAGCGCAAGCAGAGGCTATTTGAGTGCGAGGGCAGGGTTTTTGAATGTGAAATCAATAAATAATGCTCTCAAACTGATAGACCACTCTCTTGAATAAAGATAGGGATAAAGCTCCATACATGCGTGTCTACTTCCGAAACACAGTGGTTGGGGTGCGTTTGATTTATTGTACTGGGATGTTAGATTTTTCCACAACTAGACCACGGACGTCAAAAAACGCTGTTTGCACCGGGACAGGACAAACAATAAATAATATCATTCTGTTGATAGAAATGTTAATTCATATGCAAATATTTTAATAAAGTATTTCTTGTTTAAGTACATGAGATCTTAGGATTTTTTTTTTTTTACTGTGGTATCAACTTTGGTATCGAAAATCGTGTAATTTTACTGGTATCGGCATCGACTACTGAATTTTTGGTACCGTGACGTCCCTAGTCTACACAGTACTGATCAGGAAGCAAGGCTGCTTTATCGAGTTGCTCATACACCTTTTCAGCCTAATCCCATGTTGTGCTACTGATCGCAAGAACATGGATTGAGTGCAGACCTCCACCAGGCAGCCCCTGGGCTTAATGCAGCCACTTTAATTCATGCCATAATTGAAGCTGTTCATGTCAAAAGCATCAGAAAAACTAATAAAAATACACTTATCTATTTTTGATGGAGCTGCAGTACGTTGCACTGACCAGCTAAATTTCTCCTGCTAACAGGCACTGTATGTGAACTGTAGATACAATGTAATTATGATACAAATCTTTGACCCATGTTGTTCATGATCTGACTTTGAACGGTATTAACTTTGTCGATAGGCTACAGCACAACAAAACAGGGAATACCAAAATCCCAATTAAAATAGTCAAAAATGAAATAATTTAGTCAGGTTAAGTCTGAGATTTACATCTGAATGCATTATATATGTTAGAAAACACTGGCTGAAAACATGAGAAAACACAGGGAACTACATACAAGTGAATTGTGAAGTAAGGGGCTGAACACATGCTGTGTCTTTAACCACCTGGATAACTGGAGGTCGGGTGCTGGGTGCTACTCTTGTGCAATTTCTGTGCTAGCTTTTAAGAGTGTGGTGGCAGGTTGCGTCTGAGGTTGCCAAGCAACCTAAACCATCACTGTATCATAGTCTATTTACCTGAAATCCTGAGTGCAGAGCTGATCTTCTTCCAGGCGCTGTTTGTGTGTAGGCCTGTTGTTTTCGGGACAGATGTAAAGGTCTGGTAGCTCTGCACTAAAAATGATCAACTTCTTCTCCATATTTATCATAGACTGATATTTACAGATGAAGGGAAAGATATCTGTTGGTTGTGATTCGTTGGTCTTTATCACATGACGTGCAGTGTGCGCTGTTTTTTTCCAAAAGTTGAACTCCATTTATCTCGGGGCGCAGGCATTGCGTCCTGAAAAATAGTTGCCCGGGAATGCCTGCACACCACGAAAGTGTCGCTCTGGTGTTTGAGTGCGCCTGCCATGCATCTACATTAAAAACAATTAATTTGTTTGTGTATGGGCCCATAGACTGTTTTTTCACTTTTCACTTTGAGTCTGGCTCTGGTGGATCAAACATATTGGCCTGCACAAGTCCAATAAAGCTGTTAAATGTAGCATCCATTGTAGTGCTACATTTAAAAGGGGCTGCAGCTTTCTTGTAAGTGGGTGTGGCTTCAGCCTTCAGCTGACACGACCCCAGCATCTCAGAGCATAAAATATTGCCTATTTTTTCATGATTTTGAAACGTAATTTCATGTATTTGGAGACTTTTCTAGTCATTAAAATTTGGTTGGGTACTTTATAACACGTTTTTCGGTAGTATCACAAACTCATTCCGCAAATGTATTTCTTCTTTGCCTGGAATTTAACTACAGAGCCTACTTACTTATGATCGAAGCACAAATATAGGAACGAAAAGGAAAAACGACCAAATCAACAATCAGTAAGTCAACAAAATTGGGCAGGCATATTGCTCCGCTTCTGAAATGCTCCTGATGTAGTGTGATGCCGTGCAGAGAACAGAACAAAACCGGGTGGCAGGCGGACTGCTGGAGAGCTGCGCCCAGTGGAATTGTCCCTCTCAGCTCCCTTACAGTCAAAATGGCAGCGGAAATAACAAAATTGGTGATTTATTTATCTCGTATTATGCCTAACTTCAATGGACCATAATATAACAGGTATGGAATTAATCTGCAGATGCTGCAGTTCAAAAGAGACTAAACTTTTCAAACTTCTCAGTTTTTGAGCCATGGTGAAGACATGTCTTAAAGGAGAAGTCCGGTATTTTGCACTTTTAGCCCCATTTCTGGGTTGTTCATGATGAAATAGAGTGGTTAACACCACAATTGTGATGACTGACCCTTTTCGGAGAATTTGGCTTTCCCCTGCCTGGCTTAACAGTGCAGTCTATGGCCATGTGTACATCTGTCCTAAAACCACCGTAAACATTCGTTTTCAAAGCCATAAAACTCACCAAGTGGTGCTTGTTGATGTTCTGACATAAAAATCGTAGAAAACTGTGGTTTCCATGATGATTTAGTTGACATTTTGTCTAATCCGTGGGTTTTCTATAGGAAGCCTCGTTCCGCCTCGACAGTGCTGTGAGCGCTCCTGGAGGAGAACGAAAACAAATGAAAAAGTTTTGTAATAAGTTTAAACAACTGCAAAATTGATTACTCGCTTGTAAACAACCTTCGCAGTACGATGCCTTTGAACAAAACGGCAACCTTCTTCTTTTGCTTCTTTTCTGTGTCCCATTACATTGCAATGGTTTCCTGCCTGTTGGCGACACCCACGTAAAGGAGCATTATCGCCATCAAGTGGGCTGGAGTATATAACGCTTCAGTGTCAAACGAACGATCAAGCGGAAGTTTACACACGGGTGTGAGGCAGCTGAAAAAATAGGTCCACAATTGAGATGAATAGCGAAAACACAGATGGAAACCACAGTTTGCTATGATTTTTATGTCACCACAACGAACACCACTGACCACTCAGTGAGTTTCATGGCTTTGAAAACGAACGTTTACGGTGGTTTTAGGACAAATGTACACATGGCCATAGAGAGCACTGTTAAGCCAGGCAGGGGAAAGCCAAATTCTCCAAAATGGAGCAGTCATCACAATTTTGGTCTTAACCACTCTGTTTCATCATAAACAACCCAGAAATGGGGCTCAAAGTGCAAAATACTGGAATTCTCCTTTAAATTGCACATGTGCCAGAGGCTAAATGAGGAGCACCGGAGTGTGTCCAGAAAGGACGCATTTAATTAAAGCTGAGACAACAGCAAACCAAATTAGGAATAAAAATCTTCTTTTCAACATAGTTACAGACCTTTCTATGATTAGAGGCTAACAACCTCCACAGATTAAACATAAATGAGCTTTTCTTTTCACAGATGTGGCTCCATGCAGCTCCAGCGGTCACCAGACAGTCCACATCAAAGACTCTGAACACCTGCTGTCCTCCAAGACTTTCCTCAATTTCAAATTCGACAGAGACGCCATCATGAAATGTTTTGACTACTAACATGGCTGATGAAGCGTTGTGCCTCTCCTGTATCAGCATCAAACTACAGCCAAACTATGAGACTTTTTACCTTGATCTCCAGGCAAAGATGTTACTGAACATGCCTTTTTCTTCCTTGCCTTGCTTGTCATGAGCACACATTTACATCTACATTTACTTCACTGTTGTAGTTTCCTTTTGCATTCCCAACTTTTCAGACTTGTTAAAAGGGATTGTAACCAGAAGCACCATCTTCAAACTATCCATGACGGAATCATAACTTTTTCTTTGTTAATCTTTGAATACCTAAATTCATGATTCAGTTTACAGGATGCAGCACATAGATCAAAAGGAGAACACTGCTCAGGTTAAGCATTACACTTTTAAAGGCAAGAGAACAGAATTATGAGAACATAATTGATTTTAAGCACATAAAAGGTGACAGTAAAATGTAAAAAACTAACAAACAAAACAGCTGTCATATCTTAGTGAATTTGGCCAGTGAATCAATGTTGAATTTATCGTGTTATATACTGATTTTTAGATGTAACAATTTAGGTATCAATGATTTCCTCCTTTCTTCCAGCTGAGTCCCAGAAATGTTTTGGATGCTGAAGAAAGCTAGGTATTAATAGTGTTATTGGCTTTATGTATTTATGCTGTAATTGTCTTTATTACCAATATTACGAAAGATTTTATCCAGGAATGTAGCCTACAGCGTAATGGAATATTAACCTGGGAAAGGAAGAACAAGTGGTCTTCACAACTTCGTCTTTGCAAGTTGAATGTCATTAAATACATGTTACCTTGTTGTATGGAATTTTGTGGCTGCCAATATTAAGATGAAACTATGAGATCAATTTGACATTTGGAAATCAATAATTACAGCCCACAAAATTACAAATTACAGTGAAAATTCCAGTGACACTCCACAGTACATTACTCAATAATAATACTAATAATAATAATAATAATAATAATGATTGAATGAATTCAATTGGCTGACTGTGCAACCTTAATGATATTCCAAACTTGTATTTGAATTTAAATTACACCCTTGGTGTGAGCTTGTCCCTAGTGAAAATGAACGTTTCTATAATGGCAGGGTTCTTGCACATTTCTTTTCCAAACACTGTCTAAGTCTATGTCTTTCATCACAAATTAGTTAATGACAATTACAATTCAAATGCAAAGAGCCTGGTTTGCATTTTTTATGTTTAGGTGCAACATTTTCTGCTAATTTGAAAATGATAATACAAAGTCAGATTCACATTCAATTTCATTATTACTGTGGCAGTGTAGTGCTCACTGAAACAATGTAGTTTTCATTTTAAATTTAATTTTGGCAATAATTGTGCATTGTACACCATACATGTGAAAATTGGGTTTTGATATTTTTATTTTGTCATACATCATGCACACACATGGAAAATGACATTGCAGTTTGATTAAATAGTTCAATTTTAATACTTTTAGCCACTGACTTTCCTACATTGTTGTTGTTATTTGCCTTTAAGTGACCCACATCCCACTTGTATGTTAGTCTGTGTGGTTTTCAGCAGTCTTGTAATTCCAAACTGTTGTGTTGTGCAGAGTGCAGGGTTTACAGGTTTAAACTCATGATGAGATTTTGTTGAGCAAAAGTTCTCAATCATATTCTTCATGACCCACGTGTTAGCTGCTATAGTGTTTGGTTGGTATGAAAACTTGCAGACTCTTAAACTGTGGGGCATGATTGAGGACCATTGCATTAAACTACTGTGACCATGAGTTATTGTCAAAAACATTACAGATGACTCTCACAAAATGGCCACATTTAAGGATTTCCAGCCACTAGAGCTCAAAACATAAGCAAAGACAATTTGCATCATAGAAGTCTTAGAAGTTCAACCAACAGTCTGGCTATTTATATTTTCTCAAGGTAATATCACGCATACATGTGAGATGAATAAATCTGGAAGTAAGAGCTCTTTTTCTGATTCTCACCAGGGGTTCTTTGTTATTAATTGTACAGATAGTGATCTCAAGTTGTCCTATGGCTTCAATGGTGTTTTGACTTCAAATGTGAATATTAATAAAAGTTTGGTTTTTTTGCACTCCAGAACCCAAATGTTTTCAGACCTGCCAACCTGTACGCATTTTGCAAACCAGGCACACATTTTGACATCAAAGTACGCTGGTACGATTTGATGCTCTAAAACCACGCATATCGCTCGATCTCGCATTTTGCCGGTTTCAGTCTATTGGTCTATGCAAGTTGTCACTCTCAAGTTGGTGCCCGGTGAGTTTCATTCAGTAAACTTATCAAGGTAATGGCTTTGGCTGGATAACAATGGCTAAATCGCAGGAATATAGGCTGGAAAACATTTGTTTTAACACGCCTACACCTATTAGTAATGTCCGCCCCTGGCTATTCCCGACACCTAGAATAGATCTAAGCACAATGGAGTTAAAGAAAGAATGGGAGGAGAGTGGGATAGGACATCTAGCAAGTCAGTATATAAGGCATAAGTATTGTAGTTATTTAGATATATATATATACAGATGGGTCCAAAGATGAAAAGGATAGAGTAGGCATAGGAATATATATACCATCAATAAATATTAATATTGGAAATAGGACAGCTGATCAGATGTCAGTTTACACAGCAGAAATGATGGCAGTCATCATAAGCCTACAGTGGGTGGAGGAAGTAAGACCTGACAGAGTAGTATTTTGTGTTGATTCAATGGCAGTCCTTCTCAGTATACAAACTACCACATCTAACAGGTAAGATTTAATGCTGGTGGAAGTGCAACTTTGTTGGGTACCTGCCCATGTTGGAATAAAAGGTAATGAAGGAGCAGATAAAATAGCCAAAAAAGCAACTGGAAAAAGATATATAGACATACCCCTTGGTAAAGGATAAGCTAAAGCAATACTCAAAAAAGAAATAATGAAGAAATGGCAAGACAGATGGGACAGAGATAACAGCGGAAGGAAACATTATAGTGTTCAAAAAACCATTACTACACGGGGAGTGTATAGAGGCAATAGAAGGGAGGTAACTGTCCTAACAAGATTAAGATTCGACCACACAGGTCTAAATAAAAATGTTTTTGGTAGGAAAAAGTACTTCAGATGAGTGTTCGGAATGTAAAATAAAGAAAATGTGGAACATATACTGATGCACTGTCGAAAGTATAGGGAAGAAAGGACTAAACCAACTCAAAAGATAGGTAAGGCAGGTAGAGAGTGGAGTCTTGAGGGTATTTTGGGAACAACAGGAAATGGGGTACAGGACACACAGAAAGCTATAGTAGAATATCTGAAGGAGACAAGATTATATTATAGAATTTAAGGTTAGTTGAGGGTTGTTGTTGTTTTAATTAAAAATTAAGGATTATTAGTTAGGCTACCTAATGATGTACAATAGTTCAGGATAGTAACTCATGCTACATACTCCGGTACAGTAGGTGGCGGTATGCACTTAATAAGCAATGGTTGCAACCCGCCATGAAACCAAAAGAAGAAGTGTCATGGCCCAATCCCAAATCGGGCCCTATCCCCTCGCCCTATCCACTCCCCTTCCGTTTGCGTATACATAGGCTATATGTATTCTTTGTGTGTGGAATATATGCTGACAATAACCAATAAATGATCACGCCCAGAGCCGCCAGTGTTAACAACATTTTGTCGAGAGGGAGATAAGTGCTGTCCCATTCCTATTTGTAGCATCCGGAGCCCTTTCAGACTCTCACACTCAATCACTTACAGCTGACGTCAGTTAAGTCAGTGAGGGTTCAGGGCTTTAGTCTTTAGGGGGCCAGATTGGAATTTGGCCTAAGGGTCATCCCAAAGCAATTATGAGAGGTGAGAGCCAGGCGGTGCAGTCAGTGGAGAGCAACTGCAGCACCTGGTTCTAAAAACTGCGGCCGCCTCGCTCTCATGGTTCTATCACCGCCCACTTTTGTAATACGTCAGAGCAAGTCGGGATGAAGTCGGACACAAAACTAACTGGCATGCATTGTGCGCCGATCGCCGGTGATCGAATCTGCTTGGCCAGATCCTTTGGAGGACCCACCAGATGCTAAGGCATAGACGTGGGCGAAGAGAGCAAAATGCCCATTCTGACAACCGAGATGTCATGGTAATACATGCGGTAAGCTTAACACTCACACGCACATACACACATAGCCTACACATCAATAATTACCTTATCAGTATAGCTGTCTTTGGAAAAGAACTGAAATAGTTTCCCATTTAGAATCTTTGCTCATAAATCAGTGACAGTAAGTAAAATAATAATATATAGAATCACTATTTGTTTTACAAGCTAGCTTATATCAGAGCTGCCAACTCTCACACATCAATGAAACTCACGCATATGACCCTCTCCACATGAAGTATCTCAGCTCATAGGCCTACTCTGTCTGTTCTGCACCACATCGTAAAAGCGACATAAAAATCAAATTAATGAGATTAAAACATTGCAGTAAGAGGTGGTGCATGGTAGGTTTAAGATATAATTATGGGATAAAATGTTGACATCAAGGCCATTATTTCGACCGTTATTTATTTAGTTAGTTTTTCATAGCTGGGGGGGGGGGGACAATAAATTTTAGAGAATAATTCCAGGGGTGGGACAAGGAAAAAAAGTTGTAGCCTATCTTTCATACAGCATCTTTTACCTCAATTTGACGCTTTAATCTTCTCTCTATCTCTCCAACAGGCAGGCATAGGACCTTTCTTAGCACTGGCTGAGTCCACCTGCACATGTCCAGATTTAAAACAAAATGATTGAAATCAAATTAACATGTACACATGCAATGAATAAGGTAATTATCAGACAAAAATCTAAGTTTGTTTATCAGATTTCTCATAATCAGATAATTGCCTTTTTCCAGATGAAAGATATCAGATTATGCTATTTACACGCCCCGCTTGATCTCTCTCTCTCTCTCTCTCTCTCTCTCATTCTCCTTTGAAACCTGTCTTGCAGTGTTGAGCTGTCAGCATGTTTGTTTTTTTACCGGCAGTGAAATCATAACTTTAAAAAAATGTTTTTTAAAAAAGTAACCGAAGAAAATGTGTAATACTGAATATTTCTAATTATTATTATTAATATTTTGAATTTTGAAACCTGTTTTATTGACCTGTTCGTAATAAATTACTTTTTTTGGACTTTAAACATTTATCTCATCATTGCAAGTTAATGATTACGAGAGAGTCAAGACTCAAGCCAGCAGCAGCCACATGTAGAAATGTGGATATACAGTGAAAGTCTATACTTATGAGAAATAGCTTACCAACTAAACATTTCCTGTAATTAAACTGGTAAACTGGTTTATAAACAGTGTGCTGTGAGATCTGCTGCTGCGCACCTCACAACCGTACGTAAAAGTCGCGTGTAATGACCGCTCCTCGTCGGTTAAACAGCACGTCTTTCATGTTTGTCTCACTGACAGGTGGAGAGCCTACAGACAGGTACCCATTAGCTACGAGCCACTCCGCCACTGACTGCTCTTGTCCTGTCCTCTCCCTCTTCTTTCTCTCCTGTCCTCTCTGACTATCACTAAACTCTGAGCTTAATCATTAGCTTTTAGCTTAGCAGCACTCGTAATTGAGTAGGCTTTTGAACAATGCAGGAGAGCTGCATTCTCACTGGCTGAACGCTCCCATCGTACTCGTGCAAGGGGCCGCGTCTCACCTCTGGAGCTACGCACAACTTGGAGAGAGTCTGAGAGTCCTGAACGGACAGCCGTCCTGGTAGGGGATCCTGCAAAGACTCGGCCTACCTGAAGGTTTCTTCCTTTTTTTCCCGAATAAGGGTTTTTAGGGAGTTTTTCCTGACATGCTTTGCAGGTTGAAGGCTGAAGACTCAAAGAACAACGAGATATAGCATAGCAGCACGGCAGCTTGCTCTCCATGCCTGACACGTTGCTGTTCCAAGAAGCTATTCTCCCTCCAGTGTCACCTATACACCCCTGCCTCCTTATCACAACCCTGCTGGCTCTAACGTTACTGGCTGTTGTCCCATTTCTGCATTTACCCACGCCTTGACTACCGGCACCACCTAGCCGTTTAGCTTAACTCAAGCTAGCCAATGTGCTACATCCATAGCTGAGCTCAAGCTAGCCATCGTGCTACATCCATGGCCTGTGACAACATAATGCTCACAAAAGCAAATAAACAGATTACAGACCTTAAGGAAGATATCTGCCAACTCTCTCAGGAACTGCAAGATAAACAGGCCATGCTGACCTCCTGCCTGGACCTGGCTCACGAACAGCCCATGCACATTGTCTCCCTCAAAGCGGCCCTCCAGGACACCGTCCCATGGGATACCTCCACCGGTCCGCGGCCTTCCTCCTCCTCCACACCCAGTCTCCAGACATCCTGGGCTGAAGTTGTGATCCGCGACAGAAAGAGACTCCAGGATGCGACTGCCTCTCCTCCTCGCCTGAGCCTCTCCAATCACTTTGAGGCGCTAGCAGACAGCCCAGATCTTCACCCGGTTAGCATAGCTCAAGCTAGCCAACGTGCTAGCCCCGCCGCTAGCTCTCTGCACACGGCTGCTGGTGGTTGTGCAACGCCTGGCTCTGGAGAAGCCGCTGGCCCCTCTCCGCCTGCGGCTACTGGTGCTTCGCCCTCGGGCTCAGGCGGCTCCACATCTGGGGTAACATTAGCTAGTCCTACACCTGCGGCTGATGGCGACCCCGCAGCTTCCCGCTCCGACAGCCCCGCGGTCCCCGGTGTCGTGGCGGTTGCAGGGGCACTGTCTCCCCGCTCCAGCTGCCCTGCCTCTGGGATCATCGCGGCTGGCTCCACACTGGCAGCTGGCGGTGTACCCACGGCTCGCCGCCCCAGCGGCCCGGCACCAATGGGTGACGTGGAGCCCTCCTCCCCGCCAGCACCCGCCGGTACTGAGAGTGGCTCTGCTGCGGTCCCGGATCACCAGCTCTCCTCTCGGACAACTACCTCTGCTTCACGTCTCAAATTCCTGAAGGAAGCCGTCCTCAGATGCTCCGGAGGCCTCCTCCACCCCACACTCCCAGCAGACTCTCCTCCTCCTAGGGCTGTAACGGCCGATCCACCGCAACACCTGTCCGGCCGCGCCTGGT